TAAATTAAATTAAATTAAATTAAATTAAATTAAATTAAATTAAATTATAAATCAATGCCTAAATCATTTTCAAAAAGAAAATAAAAATGAATTCAAGGAGTAGAAATTTCTAATGTCTTACCATGTCTTATCATTTCTTCCTATTCTGCCATAAATAAAGTTCTTGAAAATTCAAAGTGTTTCAGTGCTTACATTGTGACCAACAGAGTTCTACCTGGTTCTGCTCTGGAAAGCAAATAGCAGCAAACCACGAAAAAAACAGAACCAACTACACATTCCACCAGCAAGTTCAGAGGCAGTCTGAACATATTGCAACAATAATTCCCACTATGGAGCTTGGGAGATGTGTTGCACGAGATCCCATGAGAAATCTTTGGTCACTAAATATTTTCAAATGTTAATGTTTTTAAATTCTTGGTAGTATACACAGGCGTTTGTTATATTCTTTGTATCCTTCTGTACCTAACATTGTTTACAAATTATTAACACAAACAAAAAGTAATTCTTAGGAATTCTTAATACAAAGTAGAAAATAAAGAATTTCTGATATACATTTACTACTAAAAAGTTTGATCACTCATGGTTTACCAAGGAATTATCTTTCAGGGCACAAATATGGAAAACTCCTTTCTGTTTCTTCTTATTAGGTGTGATGATATAGTGCCAAGGATGGCCTCCAATCTGGAAAGCATTCTCCAGGGAGGACACCTCAAAGAGCAGTGGTGGTGAGTCTGTAGAGATGGGCAAAAGGAAATTTATTAGTTTCTCTGTTCTGGTAGCCTTGGAACATTCATGATGCATACATCATCTATGAACTTTCATTAACGAGAAATTACTACATTTAAGAAATAAGATATAATCAGGAAAGAGCTGATTGCTAAGAAAAGAGAAAGCTGGTAGGCAACAAATGTTATGCAAGAAGTCAACTTTATGTTACATGAGCAGTCTTAAGATTTCCAGTATATAAGTGATATTAGTCATAATGAATGTAACCACTTAGGACAGGTCCTGTCACAGTGGTAGCTTTATTAAAGGATGGCGACTAATACTAGTATTATCTTTAGATAAGTTAACTAGTTTAGATAAATCTAGCCATTCACTGTCTTGTAGAGACTAACACCATAAAAGAAATATCTGTTGGTGCTTTTTAGTTAGAATGTCTATTATGAAAAAGCTAAGAGGGGTGCCTGGGTGGCTCAGTTGGTTGAGAATCTGACTCTTGATATTAGCTCAGGTCATTAGTTGTCTTTAGGTCAACTAATTTTAAGTAGAGCAAAACATGCACTCTTACACAAGTGTGTAAGTGGAAGGTACTACAGCTTTAGAATATCCCAAACATTCTGTTTCGGCAAGTGGTTACTTGGGACTCTTTCTTTACCCTTTTGCTTTTAGTGTTTAATCTTTGGTTATGAGGCCAACACTGCCAGTAAAGGGGCTTGCCTTAGGAAGACCCATTCACTCAAGAGCCCTAAGTTACATATATAAGTGTGTGCTTTGGGTTGCCAGGGTGGCTCAGTCGCTTAAGCTTCCAACTCTTGATTTTGGCTCAGGTCATGATCTCATCGTTTTGTGAGATCAAGCCCTGTGTTGGGCTCTGAGCTGACAGCAGGGAATCTGCTTGGGATTTTCTTTCTCCCCCCCGCTCTCTGCCCTTCCCTTGCTTGTGTTCTCTTTCTCAAAATAAATAAATAATGTTAAAAAAAAAAAAAAGAAGTGTGTGCTTTATTAGGCCTCTTCATAAGACACTTTACTACTGGGTCCTATATATAGGAGAAAAATAATGAAAAGTGAATTCACAAACTGACAGTGCTGAGGAAGACACAGGTATAAACATATCAAATATATTTAAAGTGCTTTTTTTAAAAAAGCTTTTAGGAAGAAAGTAATATTCTTAATATATAAAGAAGTCTTCTTAATGAAGAAAAAATGAACCCAACAGAAAACTCAGCTAAAAATGTTAGATAAATTATGAAAGAAATACAAACATCATATGTGATAATACAGTAGCTATGAAATGATGGTGGATGACAAAAAATTATAAAAAAGAAAAAATATAATTGGAGTTTGAATTTGGGGCTAAAATTTTAAGTAGGTATGTTATAGAGAATATAAAATAGGTATTAACACTAGAAGAAAATCAATGCAAAAAGATACACTTAAAAAGAAATACTTTTCTCAGCAGTTGCTAAAAATGGCCCCAGAGTAGCAGTGGGACTCTGCTAATCACAATTCTGATGGGTCCCCAGTAACCTGAAATTTTGATCTCTAATACTATTTTCAACTAGAGTCCTAGAAGTTCTCAGAGAGTAGCTGATTCTATGTCTTGTCATGAGGAAATTTTAAGATTCTTCTGAACCATCTAGTTGTTGTGGTAAAGGATATTTATAGGATGGCAGGGTAGTATTAAAAGAATAACCGAGTCAGCAAAAGGGGTTCCTACTTGCTAGACTGTGAAAAGAGAGGCATGAAAAAGAAAATAATAATAATGATTACAATGCTTTGAGTCTGTGAAAGGTCAAGCAATACTTCAGAGTTTTAATGTAAATTGTACAAAATGTTGTATTGTTTAGAAAAGAATAGCTATAGTAGGATTTTTCTGTAATTTTAAAATATAGGGAATGTATCAGGGAAATGCAAATCAAAACCTCACACCTGTTAGAATGTCTATTATGAAAAAGATAAGAGGGGTGCCTGGGTGGCTCAGTTGGTTGAGAATCTGACTCTTTTTTTTTTTTGTTAATTTTTTTTTCAACGTTTATTTATTTTTGGGACAGAGAGAGACAGAGCATGAACGGGCGAGGGGCAGAGAGAGAGGGAGACACAGAATCGGAAACAGGCTCCAGGCTCCGAGCCGTCAGCCCAGAGCCCGACGCGGGGCTCGAACTCACGGACCGCGAGATCGTGACCTGGCTGAAGTCGGACTGCGCCACCCAGGCGCCCCGAGAATCTGACTCTTGATTTTAGCTCAGGTCATGATCCCAGGGTTGTGGGATTGAGCCCTGCATCAGGCTCTGTGCTGAGTGTGGAGCCTGCTTAAGATACTCTCTCTCCCTCTCTCTCTCTCCCCCTGCCACCCCTCTCCCCGACTCACACTCTAAAATTAAAAAATAACAAGATAAGAAACAATAGCAGTTGGAGAGGATGTAACAAAAAGGGAACTCTTGTGCATTGTTGCTGGGAATGTAAATTGGTGCAGCCACTAAGGAAAACAGCACGGAGGTTCCTCAAAAAATTAAAAATAGAACTACCATATGATCCAGCAATTCCACTACTGGTTATTTACCCAAAGAAAATAAAATCACTAATTTGAACAGATATATGCACCCCTATGTTCATTGGGGCATTATTTATAGGAGTTCCTAGAGACAGAAAACAGACTGATGGTTATCATAGGGGAAGGGGGTCAACTATATGGTGAAAGTAGGAACTAGATTTAATGCAGTGGTCACTTTGTAGTGTACACAAAAATTTAAATTTTTTTTTTTTTTTTAGGTGAAAGCAGAGTTTATTGAAGATATAGAGCAAACAGATACAAATGGACTGTCCAGGAGACTGAGAGAGGAAAGAAGCACGAGTCTCATCACTGCTTGGGGTCTGGGTTTTTTTATTGAGGATGGCAGTCTCGTGTCCGTGTCCTCTCAGGCATCCAAGAAATGGTTAGAACAAAGATGAGGGCTCAGGTTCTCTTCCTAGGAGCCAGGGGGTCTTGGTGTGGAGACGTCTAGCTCTAGTGGCCTGCAATGCACATATGACAGTTTCGTCCAGTCATTCTCACCTGGGCCTTCCTTAGATGTCATTTATTCTAGAGTGTCATCAACTCCTCGTCCCTTACAAGAAGGGCTTAGGCTGTTTTCATTATAAGGCATGTGTGAAGTGGGGTAGAGATGCAGGTCCTAGCAGGAAGAGAAGCCAGAAAAGAAGCAAAGGGGAAAAAACCCAGCTTTTTCTCTCATGGCGTCCCCTTCAGTTTCCCTGTCTCATTCCCTGCTATGGGATTTTTATCGTCCTTATTCTTAAGGGGTGTTGAAGGGTGAAGGTCTCATCTCCTGTAGCTTCTTCAGGCTGAAAGGGATTGCAGGTCCTACCTAATGGGAGGCATAAAAATCCTGAGCTATCTCACTAAAGGAAGGGCTCCTAGTTGCAGATATTTTTGAGTTGGAGGCATGCGTGAGGTCTCATCATAAGAATAGGATGTTTCCTACAGTCATCATTGAGGTAATTTGTCTGACATCTTTACGCAGAGCATGTAGCAACAATAGTCCCCATAATAAAAAAAGACTAGCATAATTACTATCATAGCTAGTAGAAGAAGTGTTTTCCACCAAGACTATCCATGTCCGCTAAACCAGGAAGAAACCCACTCACTGAGAGAATGAGAAGAGTCAGACATTGCTTTAATTTGTGTGTGCATGTCTGCTAAAACTTTTGATAGAGATTAGAGTCATCTGGGATATATACATAACATTTAGTCTCAATATTAGCCTAAGTGTCTTCTTGAGCTGTAGTCAGGATATCAAGGCTTTGGAGGGCCACCTTTTGAATTTGTGGGTGACAGCATGTTGGGTTTGGCTAAAGGTGGCTACCATATGCTTGACTACAGTCTCTATTTGTAATTTTACAGGTATAGAGGTGGCTCCCGGGACAAATACGGCTAAGGAACAAAACCATCAAGAATTCCTCTTTGCCTGACGTCTGGCCTTAATAATATTCTAACTATGAGGAATCACTGGCAAGTACACCTGACACTAATCTAATGCTATACATCAACTTTATCTCAATAAAATACAGGTAGCTAATCTTATATATTTCTTCTGTTAAATAAATGTTTGCTTTAACATTTACATGTTAAATGAAAATACAAGGTACGGAACAGAGTATACAATATACTACATTTGGTGTAAGAAAGAAGGTAGCATTTATTTATTTAAAAAATTTTTTTTAACGTTTATTTATTTTTGAGACAGAGACAGAGCATGAACGGGGGAGCGGCAGAGAGAGGGAGACCCAGAATCGGAAGCAGCCTCCAGGCTCTGAGCCGTCAGCCCAGAGCCCGACGCGGGGCTCGAACTCACGGACTGCAAGATTGTGACCTGAGCTGAAGGTGGACGCTTAACCTGAGCTGAAGGTGGAGCCACCCAGGTGCCCCAAGAAGGTAACATTTAAAGAATACATATGTATGTTTGCTTATTTAAAAAAAAATTTTTTTTTTTACATTTATTTATTTTTGAGAGACAGAGCACAAGCAGGGGAGGGGCGGAGGGAGAGGGGGACACAGAGTCCCAAGCAGGCTCCAGGCTCCGAGCTGTCAGCACAGAGACTGACACGGGGCTCGAACCCACAAACCATGAGATCACGACCTGAGCTGAAGTCGGATGCTTACCTGACTGAGCCACCCAGGCGCCCCTGCATGTTTGCTTATTTTTATGAAAAGAAACAACAGAGGGATAACCTAGAAACTAAAAACAATGATTACTTATAGGGGCAGGGTGGAATTGGGGGAGGGAAGTAACAGAATGGAAGGACTTTTATGGATGGCAGCAAAGTTTCTCAGACTATACCTTTTTATATAGTTTTGACCATTAAAACATACACATTTTACAACTTCAAGAATAAAGTCCAAAGGGAAAAAATAAACCTAAAATTGAAAAACTAAAACAAATGAACCTAATTACATAAAATTGGTAACCTAATGACACAGAAAAATACTTTCAAGCAATCTTTGAACACATTACTCTGATAGTACACTTATTGGGCTGTACACTAAGGACAAAAGGACCTGCAGAGAAATCTTAACCTTCACACTGTACTTTAGTTTTCAGTAGTAGCATTGATATGGCAATTTTAAGATTATCACATATATATTATAGGATAAAGTTTCCCTAGGAATCAAGAAGTTCAGTGGGAGCCAAAAGAAATACAAATATAAAATCAAAGAAGAATTGGGGCTCCTGGGTGGCTCAGTCGGTTAAGGGTCCAACTTCGGCTCAGGTCATGATCTCACAGCTCGTGAGTTCGAGCCCCGCACTGGGTTCTGTGGTGACAGCTCAGAGCCTGGAGCCTTCTTCAGATTCTGTGTCTCCCTCTCTCTCTGTCCCTCCTCCACGTGCATTCTGTGTCTGTCTCTCTCTCTCTCTCTCTCTCTCTCTCAAAAAAAAAAAAGTTAAAAAAAATCAAAGAACAATTAAGTTTAGAAATACGAGAATGAACTAAAAGGTTTTTGTTTTAATATATTTCCCAGCTCTGTTCACCAAAAATAAAGACACCCAGCTGCATTGAGCACAACTAGATCTTGGTCTATGTTTTGGGTTGAAATGTGCCCCTCAAAAAGATATGTCGAACCCCTAACCCCTGGTATTGGTGAATATGACTTTATTTGGAAACAGGGTCTTTGCGGAGATCATGCTGGATAAGGGTGGGTCCTAAAACCCATGACTGGTGTTCTTATAAGGAGAGAGAGAGATTTGAAGACAGCAGAGTGAAGAAGGCCCATGTGAAGACAGGCAGAGAGGGCAACAATGCTGCCACAAACCACGAAATGCCAAGGATTGTCAGCAACAACCAGAAGCCAGAAGAGGCAAGGAAGGATTCTTTCCTAGAGCCTTCAGAGGACCTGAGGTGGTCTCTGTCACTGCTTTCATTTCAGACTTCTAGCCTCCAAAAGTGTAAGAGATTAAATTTCTGTTGCTTAAAGCTATCAGTTTGTGGTGTTACAGCAGCCCTAGGACACTAACACAGTCAATGAGGGTGTTCTCTCCTTGTCACATCGAGGACAAGGAAAGTAAAAGGTAAACGTAGGATACATTATTGTTCCAGAAGAGCAAGGGAATTCCCCAAGACTCCTGGGGTATGTCAAAATGGAGCTCTCACTGGCCAAATTTGGGGCAATTTGAACATCATGAAGAATAATGACTGTAACTATATAATTTTGGATAGATGAAAATCCATGAGTCCACTGTGATTATATATGTGTGCTGACCTCTAAAATATTTTGCCACCTTGGACGTGACTATTAACACCAAATCCTTGCTTGAATACTGATACTTAAAGAGAAAGAGTTAAGTATTTACCTTGACTTTTTAGGAGGAATTACAGTTCATCCCTAGGTGATGAGTGGAAGTTTTTATTTACAGAAAAATGTCAGTTATTAAAGGTAGAAGGAATGACAGAATCTTTTCAAATGGCCATTCTGCCACCCACAATGACATAATTGATTCAAGCATTACTAGTTATCTGTAATCACAGAAAATTAAAAACAACCTAAATGTCCAAAGCAGTGAACTGGCTCAACAAATTCAAAGTTCATCCATAGAATGATACACAGGTCAAGTTCTTAAAACTTCAAGGATCTGTGTATGTGGGTATACATGCATACACATGGAACCACATTTTGGTGAAGGTAATGTAGGCACCACATTCAAAAAGTATCACAAGATACATAATGAAAAATAAGTCTTCCTTTCATCTGTATCCCTCAGAGGAAACTACTGTTTATCAGGTTTTTGTGTGTCCTTCCATATATTCCAAGCAAATCTAAAAAGTATATGCTCATGTGTACATTTTAAACATGTGAATACAAATTCTTTATACAAATGAAGCTTTTTATGTACAGTTTTACACTCCTTTTTATCATTTATTAATATATATATTGGGAATTGCTCTGCAACAATACAAAAAAATTCTTTCTTTGTAACACTTAAATTTATGATACGGCCAAACAATGAAATAATATTAGTGTCACCTATCAATTATACATTGTTTCTAACCACTTGCTATTAGAAATAATGTTACACTTGTACATTTGTCATTTTTGTACACATATGAATGTATCTGGTATAAATTCCTAGACATGGAATTGTTCAAGGAGTATATACATTTAAAACTTTGCTGCATATTGACAAACTATCCTCCACAAATGACTCCAACAATAAATGACTATAGTTTTATATAGTTTTATATTCTTATATACTTCTATACTATACTTTTAACAACCCCATTAGTAACTTTTTGATAGCTGAAAACCTGAAAAGATGTATCTTAGGATAATTTTAATTTACATTTCTCTTCTCAGTGATGTTGGGCTTTGCCTTCTGCTAGTTAAATGCCAAGCAAGACTCAGTATCACTAGGTGTTCAGTTCAATGAATAACTGATAGATTTTGTCAATACCTATTCAGTAGCAAGGAATAAGCTATATAGAAGTAAAATGAATTGAGTTTATAATTAAATTATGAGAAAACACTGGATGATTACAATAAATAACTATTTATATGACCACTTATTTTTTAAGGTGAAAAAAATGCTACATAGTAGCCATACCTGTGATTTTAATATTACAAGGAATGCCAAAAGGAGCCTCTCCTACAGTTCCAGCAGTCCCACCCCATCTGCATGCACACCCTAAGTCAAGTTTCTGTTGCATGAACTAAAAACAAAACAAAACAAACAAAAACGGTGGCTTTAGCACCCACTTATTTGCTGTCTGGAGAGAGAAAAAATTAAATTCACATGTATCTGACAGAGAAAATGTCTTTATTTAAAGGGCCTTTCTATTTATCCTCCCACCCTCTTTTAAAGGTTACTTTGTCTTTCTGCATTTGCACAGTTTTGTAGAGTTGAAATCTACACAAGTGCCTTACTCTAAAGTACCTCATTAAAAAAAAATCATACCTCAGTCCAAAATTCAAGTTATTATAATATGGCAAATTTCAGGCTTCTGTACCTGTTCAATGATGGCTTGGAAGCTATAGAGTCTGACCAGTCCTGAGCTGTACATCACAATCAGTATCCCATGAGACAAGGTAGCATCTGTAACGTTCCCGAAAATCTGAGGGGAAAGGTAGATATCACCTGAGAAAAGACCAGAAGGCCAATCCTCTTGAGTGTTCACAGTGGTTTGTGCTTTGCTAAATATTCAGGTCACTACGACATCACTGCCGCCTAGTATTATAACTTAATTATAATTTAGAGACCTGAAGTTAAGGTGTCATTAGGGTGGTAGGCCACTGGAGTCTCAAACTGGAACACTAATGGCAGTGTAGCATATAACCTTCAAAATGATTTAGCAGCATTAATTTGCCTCATCCATTTGCTTTACAGTTTGCCAATATCTTTTATAAGCAAATCCTATTCTGGGGCGCCTGGGTGGCTCAGTTGGTTGAGCAACCGACTTCAGCTCAGGTCATGATATCACAGTCCGTGGGTTCGAGCCCCGCATCAGGCTCTGTGCTGACAGCTCGGAGCCTGGAGCCTGCTTTGGATTCTGTGTCTCCCTCTCTCTCTGCCCCTCCCCCGCTCATGCTCTGTGTCTCTCTCTCTCTCTCTGTCAAAAATAAATAAACATTAAAAAAAATTAAAAAAACCCAACAAATCCTATTCTTCATGGACGTAGGCATACACTGAGACCATCTAATTCTACCATATAGGATATGCATAGTAAATATAGAGACCTATTCTTCATGCTAAAATGTTACTTATAAAGAGACAGTTTTTAGCTAGAAGGGAAAAGATTGGCTCTGAGAAAGTACTTCTAATGAGAAACAGCCAATTCCAGAATTTTATTATTACTTTGTTCTTTAAATATCTAACACAGCTAGGTGTTTTAGTCATATAAAACCCAAACATGTTAAAGACAAAGCCAACACCTATAGAGACATTTAGACTGGCTAACCTTGAGTAAAGCTTTGGTTCTTTGTTCCCTTTCTGTTTTTGTTCTATGCAACGGATCCTGTCATAATCCTCCACAGAGCTCTGACAAAGAACTTGATTCTGTGCCTATTTTAATATTTACAAAAGCCAACATAGACAAATTTTCATAGCAATGAAAGAACAAGTAGAAATTAAGTGAAAATCTGTTTCTGTTTCTAATTACTTAGTGAAAATTTACTACCCCAATAAATAGCTTAAAGTACATTCTAAGCCCGCCCATGGGTAGTCTTTTATACATGGTAAGTGAAAGATACGCTTCAATTCCAACTAACCCTAATCAAAACCAAATCCCTCCAATGATTATTGTAGGCATGTAAAAATAGATAGAAACAATTTATGACTTAGCTAAGTGTTCATTCCTGTTTTGGACTGTAATAAGCATACACAATTACTTAATCCACGAGCACAAAGAAAACAATTAAATTCGTAAGTTATGTTTTTTGTCATCTCTTAGAAGGATAATTATGCTTTCTTTGCTTTGATCTTGACTAGCTCATAATTTTTTATTGGCGGATCCTGGTTTCCCACTTTGAAAAAGAAGACTTGTGTAATTCAAACATATTTTCAAATAATGAGTGCTATAATAAAGTAGCCACTCTATTTTAAAATTTGGTTCATACTTTGGAGTCAACTCTAGTTTCTAATTCCAGTTTCTGCATTCACTTAGGATTTGGTTAATTTCTTAGTGGAATACATCATACATTACAAAGTTGTAAACTACTCAAAGTGCCTGGCACAAAGCCAAGAATGAACAAGTAATTGATACTATTCATTTGCCTTTATGTAGTTTAGTATACTATGCTTTTACAAAAATTTTTTAACATGTTCATCTTATTTGCTAATGACTATTAGAGGACTCTGAAGATCTGCTTCAGTAATACTTAATTAAAGACTAGTAGAATAGACCAATAAATAACTATCCCCCCAGACTAAGTAACAATTTTTAAATGGAAAGTAGAAGGCTATTGATTCTTTTACTCAAAGGAAGTATGTCCTTTCTTTCCTCCCATATCATGGCCTATAAATCAAGAACAATGACAAGAATAAAACCTAAAACTGAATGAGTTGGAAAACTCACATATTTAATTATAAGGCTGTTTCTGTATCATAAAACAAGTTTTAGATCTATACCTTGCAATTAAAATGAGGCTTTTTGTTTAGCTTTTCACCTTCCTAATGGTCATTTTAAATGAGCTTTGGAATATCCCTCTGCAAAAAACCACCTTCCTCATTTCATAATTTTGTAAAGTAGTGGTTTGTTAATGACACCAAAGGTAATTCAACACTATGCACTTGAATGGCATAAAAACATGTAGAAAGAGGAAGGAATGATTAGACTTTCTTCCTAAATGAAACATTCTCATGTGTTTTGATATGAAACAAGCTAGATCAGAAAGCTTTTTACAATTAGGGGAACACTTGCAATCAAATGACTTAATAAAACAAATAACCAACGGCATCCGATCTTTTATAAAAAAGTTGATATTGCAATTAAATTAGAAGTAAGTTCTTACCTTCTTGCTGATCTCCAGAATCCCTATGAGTGAAAAAGGTAAAACATGGAACACTGCAAGGTACAGCAAAATAGGCTGTTGAATGCCTGCCTACAAGGAAAGATTAAATTATAGGCAGCTCTCAAAAGAATTTCAGAAACAGTTTTCATGAGTTGAAAACATCCATCTATCCTAGCATACAGTTATGTGGATGTTTTCAACTCATGAAAACCTCCGTCTACATTGCAAAGTTACTTAAACAGGAAGGCATATGTGTTCAAAATAAGTCCATTAAACCTTTAGCCCTTCAACACACATGCACATACACACAAAAATCTATAAAAGTAAACCTAACAGTAAACATTTCTTAACACTGAAACATATTTTACGTACTGTACAAAAACATTTTATCTACTGCATAACAAAATACACTTTCCATATTACAATTACAGCATAAATATATATTTATAATATCTACCATATACCATATAATTAAATTGTTATTATTATACATATATTATGGTATATTAATATAGTATAAGTTATATTGTAAGTTGGAGTTCTAATAATAAAGACCTTAATCAAAAGACACATAGTTATGGTCATATCACCTGAAAGTAGCATTACACTGACATGTCTACGTGAGATGAGAAGAAATTATCAACAGTTAAAGCTTGAATGATCTGTCTGTTTGGAAAAGATAGCTCCCTTACTTTGAAGAACAAGGTTCAATTTCTTTCCACTATGGAATGTAAAATAATCTGTTGTACTTCTCCAGAGTGGCTTAAAGGGTATTTCTTAAGCTCGTGGTAAACAACTTTTATACCATTTTTCAGAAGTCAAAGACCATTAGTTCTTTCACAACAAATTTGCAGACAATTTCTTCATTTCATTAATGCTTAAGATTTATTTATTGATACTTAAAGATGTCTACCTGCCGGGCCAATGCTGAACATTTGTTTTGAGCTGACTTGACTGCAATGACTTCTTGAGGAGTGTCCCAGCTCAAATATCTTATAAAAGAATGAGGAGAAGGTTATTCATTGGGGTCAGTTTCCTTATAATCAAAATATAATAGTATTTTCTAAATAGTTCTTTAGTTATTTAAATTATAAAACAAAGTAATTTCTTTTAAAACAAAAACAACTTAAAATTTCCCTCTAGATCCTTATGCAATAACTCCTATTTAAAAAAAAAA